ATTGAAGTACTGAATATTAAAAGAAAATCTAAGACTAAGAACAAAGATTCTTGAATTCTCAATTGAATGCTCGAATAATGATGAACTTTAAAACTCTCATCAGCCTTCAATTGATCTTCAAAAGTATGGTAAGTAAATATTTCTCTCTCTCTCCATCTTGTTTCCAAACATTCCGATCATCATATTCATGCACACGTTCTTTTTTCTACAAAATATAGACAAGTAAGATCATAAAATCTCTTACTAAATATATGTACATAAATCGACATTATATATTTATACACAAATAAAAAGAATCTTCCTTTTTAATTGTCTTTTGCTTGCAAGATTGTATCTTCGATATACTATTTTTGAATTCCTTGTCAAAAATAAATCTTTTACACTTTTTTTCTTTTAAACTTTTGTTTTTGATTTTATTTGAAAATAGAAAAGAAAATTTGGATCTAGGCGAAAGAAATGTACTCAACACTTTGATGTGATATTGTAAGTCTTGTACCTAAAAAAAAAAAAAATTGTTCCAAGTCCATTTTGATAGTAAAATTTCAAACATTTCGTGTATTTTCTTTTGTATAAGGGCAAAATAATGGATAATGATTTTTATGTGGCAGACCCCGTGATTACCAATATTATCACATCCAATATCCAATATTGATAATTATTACACTTTACATTATTTATTACAATATTTAGATCAAAAACTTGTGTGCAATCCCGCAAAATTTGCCCCTAATCCAGACCTTTCCGTGTCCGGTCCTTAAAAATAAATATTCTTGGCATGAATTCAATTTTGATCCGTTAATTTATCCATTGCCCACTTTTAGTACACTATCTTTCCCTTCATTAAAAATAGTCTATTATGTTACATTTTTCATTAGTTTTAGTACATTAATCTCGTGAGCCGGGATTACGAGATGACAAATCAGATATTTATCCTACCACGTCAATATCCTATCTCTCCACGGAGTTCCAATCCCAGTCCACGTCATCTCGTACTTCCTCCTATGGGAGTAGTGTAAACTGATGAAAAGTGTAACATAATGGACTATTTTTCATGAGAAGAAAGATAGTGTACCAAAAAGTAACAAGTTAACTTGTACAGTTTAAAAACAATAAAACCCATTCCGAACTTT